TAAAAAGCAGATTGTTATTGGTCAAAAGAAGCTTCTGGGCTTCAGGGATTGCTAGTGAGCTCCTGAAGAGGCTTTAACAGGCAGGAGATCTGCTGAGAACATAAGCGCCGAAAAGCTCAGCCAAGCTGACTTAGGGAAACATTAAGTTAAGGAAGATGACTGAACATCTCTGCTAGGAAGACACCTTGACTTTGTCACCCACAATTATTTTTTATTATTTGGGGTCTTATAAGGCCATTTTCATGCAGATATACAGTATATTTTGAACTTATCTCCCTCATACCCCACTTCTGTCCCCTCTTACTACTTGTTCCCTTTGTCTCTCAGACAGTTTTGCCTCTACTTTCCTGTCTTCAGAATATATATGCTTTTATGCATGTATACTGCCCAGAACTCTGGGAGCATTTCTTTTCCTTTTGATCTTCTCTTTCTACTACGGTGACTCTGACCTCCCTTACATCTAAGTATTGCTGCCCTCCCAGGCCTGATCCTCAGCTCTTCTTTATTCAAATTCTAAAAGCATTGACCTCAACCTACCTGCTGGCTTTAAATATCATTTTGCCACTGACGAGTCCCAAACATGCATGACCAGCCAGGACATTTCTCTGCCCTCTAGGTATTCATGAGTATTTAGCATCCTAGTCCACTCTCCATTTTGCACTTAATAGGACTCTCAAGCTCAAGCCTGAGCTCTCCTTTCAAAATTACTCATCAAATTTTCTCAATATTAGTAATGGCAACCCTATCCTTCCTATGCATAGTCTCAAATTTGGAATTGCCCAAAACATCTTTCTTTTTTCATACCAGTCTATCATAAAACCCTTGGGTTCAAAATACAACTTTCTTTTTCAAATGTTGTTATTGTCCATCCAGCCTAGGCGTGATCATCTTGAACTTAGATTATTCTAACAGTGTAACTATAATAAAGATTACTATTGTAATAGATATTCTTGCTTCTGCTCTGGTTCCCTATGGGTTTACGCTTGCAGTGCATCTTTGAAAATATTAGGCCACATCTCTCTGCAGAATCAAAACCCTCCATGGTCCATGGCTTTCCAAGTCAATGGCATTATGATGGCCTATGATGTAATGGAGTTTCCCACTCTCACCTCACTTCTGTGGCCTTAACTAACACTACTACACCCTTCTTGTAACTTTATTGTGTATAGCATTGCCTTTGTATGTCTCCCCAAGAGCCTGTAAGCAAGTTCTCACCTCAGAGCCTTCACCTTCTGTTGGTCCACTGATGTGAGTGCTTACCCCCAGGGGCCCCAGACCTGTGCTGCTGACTTGATTACTCAGTCTTTCCTGAAATGCAACTTAGTGTTCTTTCTCTGAATACTTTTTTCAAAAAGCAACCTTCCCTCCAAGCCTGCCCCAGGTCCTCACCCTACTTTATTTCTCTTCATAACAGGCCACATCATTGCCAAGCACTTGGTACATTTTCTGCCACTCATATTTATTCCATCTCTCTTCACTGAACTGTGAACTTTATGAAGCCTATAATGTGTTGTGCTTAGGGCACATTGTCCACTCATATCTTAGCACATAGTGAGGACTCCTAAGGGACTGTTGCATGAGCGGATGGGAATGGCCGCGTAGAGATGGAGGGGAGCCAGTGAACGAGAGATTTGTCACAGCACAGAAAAAGCAAACAGCAATGATTTGTTGGATATAGAGAAGAAAACAGGTGGTGAGCAAGACAGAGCCTAAGTTTCTGACACAGATCACTGACTTGCTGGTCAACTGTTTACTAAAACAGAGAAGATAACAGGAGGGATGGACGAAAGACGGGGAAGAGAAGGATAAATTGAATTTTGAAGTTGGAATTAAGGTTCCTTGGAGATACTCAACTAAAAATGTCTCCGAGGCAGCTGGAACCATTCATTTCATTCATGGAAAACATTCAGTTCTCCCTCCTCTGCCTCCCTCCCTCCCTCCCTCCCCCCCCCCTCTCTCTCTCAGGATTCACTTATTTTTATTTTACCTGTGTGTTTCCTTGCGCATATATGTCTGTATTCCATATGTATGCAGTGCCTGCAGAGGCCACAAGATGGCCTTAGATGCCTGGGAATGGGAGTAACAGGTGGTTGTGAGCTGCCATGTGGATGCTGGGAACTGAACCTGTGTCCTCTGGAAGAGTAGTCAGTGCTCTTAACCCCTGAGTTATATCTCCAGGCCTGTAAGTACTCACTTATATAAAGACAGAATAGCTGTGTAGAAGGGCACTGGAGAGAGATCGGAGCACAGAACCATTTTCTGGGTAATGCTGCAGCCTGTCAGTGTACTTGTGTGGCAAAATCCCTGATCCAGCAACCCCCTCAAGAGTTTCTAGTCATTCAGAAAACCCCATTCCCCAAACCTCCAAGAAGTCTCATTGTGAGAATGCAACCATTTTCAGTTTGACTCTGGGGGTTCATGCTTGCCATTCAGAACCTACTATATTTTACTGCACCTCCTGACATTGTTACACAACATTTATTGAAAGCACATTTGATGGTAATGAAGTTTCTATTAACTATGATTAAATCTCATAAAGCACCTGAAGATAATTTAAGATGTGCAGAAGCAGAAAATGAAACATTCGGTTTAGTACATTAGGAAACGTAATTGATTAAATTATCTCATTTACAATAAGTGCTTTCATGAGCTATGCAGTGCGCATATTTTCCCCAGTTTGTCATTATGATTTGCCAACACATATCTTAAGACTTCACTTTCTTTTTGTACCTCCCTGCAACTCAAAGCTAGCTCCTTTGCATGTCTGTTTTAGAGAACTGTGTAGAAAACTCACTCTGATGTAGTCTACCCACCAGGACTTGTGGAAGATGATGTGTACCGCTATATATAGGAACAGGTTGTTTCTCAATTATCTTCATAATTGACTTTGATTTTGCATCAGTGATGATTCATGTAGTCTTAAACCCAGCCCCACTTTCAGTGAACGAGTAGCCTGAATTTGTGTAATGCACTTCTAACCATGCAGCTCACAGAACCCTGACGGGATTCCTCTGGGAGCTTTTTGCAATCACATTGATTCTGGTACGGTTTTATTTTTAGGGAAATCACAAATTAAAACAGCTTAAGCGATTCTGCTGCAGTATCCAGCAATTAAGCATGGTGCTTAGGAGTGAGAACCCCAAGCAAAAATGAATTCAGGAGTCCCTACAGACAAGGAATAGCTTCTGTGGGGTTTATGGCTGAAAGTACAGATGTAACCAAATTAGAAAGGCACAGGGCTCACAAACTAAGCATGAAATTAATTTTTAAAAACACACACATGCATTTATAAATAATCCTCATGTTGGTTACCACACAGATACCCATGATCTTGTCATACTCTACATCCAAACTGGGGGGCAGGGACATGCATATGAGTTGAAGCGGAAGCCTGGAGTCCAGCTATCCCAGCTACCACCCTGAGAGTTAGGACATAAGCACAGGCTACAAATTAAAAGTCAAGTTTCCTTCCCTCCACATATGCTCATGCAAACACACACACACACACACACACACACACACACACACACACACACAGAATGCTGAGTTCTTCCCAACTCAGTCTTCAAAGCAAGTGTGCATAGAACCAGAAATACACCACTTGGGTGCCAATGGTTCCTTTACATGTAGCTGGCAGCAGCAGATGAAGACAGTGAGCAGGAAGTTTTTGTTTTGCAGAACCCTCAGGTTGTAAATTAGTGGCCTCTATGTACTACAGGGTGCCTGTAGCAACAGAGTGGAACAGGGACAAATGCCTGGATTTTCCTCTCATGCCTTCTGATGCCCACCCCTGGGTACCTATTTCTGTCTGTCCTCTAAGGTCTTGATTGTTTGTTTGTTTTTTTAAGATGTTAGCAAATAAAAGCTGTTTACTCTCCTAAGAGCTTTGGATTGTGCTGTTGTAGATTTAAATGATCAGAAGTCATTCATCTTGTACTAAATGAGAGAAACTGGACGCAGACAGGTTTTCCAAGCCTTACATCCAACAGCAGCTGGACAGCGGTCTACTTCTGCTCTTGATGTCAGCAGTACGGTTCTTCCTCATAGCTTGACATTCCTTAGTATGCTCTACCTATCTCTGAGTTCATGCAATGACTTAATAAAATAACATATCGATCCCAGGAGTATCCCCATCACAGATTCTAACTCATTTGATTTTTTTTGTAAGTAATATACACTTACTAAGTTTCCATCATACTCCAAGATTCTGACCCTTTTGATCTCCCACCCCATAGTCTAAGACTATGATTCACAAACTGAGTTGGGGAGCTCTGGAAAATAAAGATTTCTGGGTTCTAATCCCTGCCCCCAAACTCTCTATTTTTAAAAGGTCTCCAGGTTATCATAATTGCAGTCAAAGCTGAGAGTCATGGGGTCAAATGCCAAGCTTCCAACCATGTAAGCCATGCTCCATTCTCTGAATCCCCTGGATGCAAAACAGAAATAATGCAAAGGCTTCTTCAGGCAGCAAGCCTTTAGCCAATGAAGTGAAGCCAACACCAACACTCAGCTTGGATTTATTTCACTGTGGAGTGCTGGCTCTTAATCTACTTAGTTACCATGGATGCCACAGCAGGTGAGACTCTGGGTTGGCATTCTCCAGAACCCTTCCCTCCCTGCCTCTTCCTGGAGTGGCAAGGAGCCAGGCGCTTGCCCACAAGACTGCTTTCATGCATGTTGTGTACTGACAAATATTTATTAATTTTAATGCTATAAATCTCTCCAGAAATAAGAATCCTAGATGACATTTGCAGAGAAATGGACTTATAGGCAGAAAGAATCAAGAAGAAAGATTTACTTTTGCTTTGCGGGAGGGGAAGGGTGTGCATATTTCTTTTTGATTTAAACCTCTGATATGCGACTCCAAACTCAATGAGGAGAGGCCCCGAAAGCCCTGGGTCTGTCAGAGGACTTCACTTCTGCTTGGCTTTTGAACAAATACAACAGTAAGGCAGCAAATATGAAAATAAATTATATTCACAAGAGGAAAAATAACTTACTTTGGGGTTTTATTTCATGAAGAGGTTTTTTATCTAAAAGAAAGAAAGAGAAAGAGAAAGTTGCATTTAATAAATTTACATGGCGCAGATATAATCCCTGTATTACTTTGTATGGACCTCCATAAATGATACATTTTCTCCAATTTGCAGGCAATATGGGTTATAGGGCCCACATTTTCCTTTTGCATTCTAATTTTTATTTGCCTCTTTTTGAAGTATTTCCATATGATGATTATTTTATTTAAGAATATATTTTCTCTCCAGTTTGCTAGCATATTTTTCTTGGTTGCTTCTGCTCGATTCTTATCTGCATGATAAGTGCAAGGAGCTTGCTGCCTTCTCCTTTTAATGCCCAGTGAGCAGCCTGCTGGGGTAAGAGATGCCATTTCACTATACATGAAGACAGAAAAATGAACCAGGGAATAAATATTTAAAGGGACCCTGCCTTGGTGTGCAGTAATCATGGTCTGGATGTAAACTTCCAAACTGCCTGTTGAGCCGTTCCCTGGGGCTATGGATGTGGTGATGTGAGCATTTTGGATTTGGGTTTTTTTTTCCTTCCTCCTTAATCTGTTTAAGTGTATGTTGTTTCTGTCAGGGAAGACGGTGTCATTGTATATGCAGCAAGCTGGTGGGATGTGGCAGTGAGAGGAAAAGGCATTCATCTGGACCTCAGGTGACACTCAGCTGAAGCACTTTCGACAGTTCTCTCCAAGGCTCTCTGTCCATCAAGCACTGTCTGGTCCTATCTCCCGTCAGCATCTACTTCTGAATCTCATGCTGACTTTGGTGCCTGTGGCTTACTTTGCTTTGCCCAGAGTCCCTCCTTTCCTGGTGTTGTTAGTTCCACCTTAGGCTAAACACCACCCCACTGGAGAAGGCGGACATGAGAACTTTCCAGATGCCAGGTCAAGATGCCAGGATTCAACACTTCGCAGCGCCTCCTGCATTCATGGGGGTGTCTGTCCCTCATTGGGGTGTAGAAGCAGGCTACACAGTTTCAGGTCATTGGTGACCATTCACTGAGTCACAGGTCTGGAGCCGTGAGAGACTACCTTCTGTAGACTGGCTCTCTATGACTCTGAAGATGACCACACAGAAGGAGGCTTTCATTGTGGGTTGAGGTTTTAGCAGAGTCAAACCCAGCACACTACACATTTGAGAACTTCACAAACATTATCTGACTGATTGCATAGTAAACTCTCCCAGGCAGATAGGATGCGGTGGCCAGTTTGCCTAGGAATATCAGTCAACAAAACCCATTTCTGAACTTTATATTGATCTTGAGAGAAAGCTCTTACAGTACATAAATGCAGTGTGCTTCGAGTATGGCTTTCGTGTGTTTAGCTGTCTGACCTGTGATGGAAGTAAATTTACAAGTGGGATGCAAACCACCCTCCAGTAGATGAATCATTTAATAGTAGGGGAGAATGAGGCAGCCGTAGGTACTGTCTTCAAAACGAACAGAGTCTGGGACAACAATGTATTATTCGTATTGACATGCTCATGGAAGATTTCCATTCAGGTTTCTAAGAACACTGGCATGTCCCTCACTGCACAGACTAGACACATTTCCCCAAGAGCAGGTGGCAGCTGAGAAGTCCAGATGCTACTACTCTCAAGAACTAGAAGGCGACCACTTTGGTGGGTTAAGCCGAGCTTCTGGTTTGTTTGCTGCGAGGCATCTGAAAGCATTCAGTATGGGCACTGAGAGGCTGGCAGGCCAAGGCTAAGATGCCTGAAAGTGGTGCATTGACACCAGCCACAAGAGGAGATGGGGGACATCTATTTAGAACTCTGCCTCAGTGCAACTCTATTTTCTCTTCTGAACCACGGGAATGGGTATTAAACCAGGGAACAAAGTGAAATGCCAATAAAAACAGGTGAGATGCAAGATGAAACCTCAGAAAAACTCACTGATCATCAACCTGTGCAAAAAACGGGGTGGTGAGATTCTAGTGGGAATAGCTCTGAAATATGAGGGAATGTGGCTGAGAAGCCAAGGGTTAAGGTCTGGAGACAGACACAGTCATAAGTACACTCAAGGCAGGGACCCTGCACTTCCCTCTGACCCAGCTCTGATACCAAGGTATTTGGCAACGTGGCACTGTGCAAATAATCCAGACTTGGGGTCTGAACTGGACTTGATGTTTAAGGGTTCCACATCTTGTCAGTGCGGCTTCATTGTTCTTTCAGTGAAGCAGGCGTAGTAACACCCTCAACATTTGGTATTCAGGAGTAAGCAGGATATATACAGGGTCATGAAGCATAGAGTAGGCACAGGTTTGGCTTAATAACTGCAATAAATGGTGGTTGATGAAGTAATTTCAACCTGTGATGATGGTGAGGGGCCCATTAACTCAAGATGGCTATTTGTGTTCCTGTTGGGAGACAGTTCACAATGCCATGTCAGAGATTGGTGGTGTCTCTGCCACAGTGAGACCAAACTAAGTCACAGCTTAGTTTCTTGATGTGCAGAAAAAGAAAGGGGTCCAGAAATCTGCTGGGGACCCTTTGCCTCCACCCACCATCCTTAGCCTTAAGGAGGGCAAAGGATGATATGGGTACAAAAGCCATTCATAATGGCCTCCTGCTGCAGTGTAAAATGCCCCAAAGGGCCACTGTTCTGCTGGCCAGCATGGCTTCTGTTTCAGCTTCCATCTTGCGGGAACAGCTGGAAAGCTCTGGAGTCCAAAGACATTAGCTCCCTGGCATTAGCATCCAAACTGGGTTCCGCTGTGTTTTGTGTGAGAATAATAGCTTGAAAGGAACCCACCATGGCACAGCGGTTTCCTCAGTTAAACACTGAATCTGACATAGGCTAGAGAAGGCCATCTAGCTACCTCTCCAACTTGGAAGGCTTGGCCCACTCCACACTGTTGTTTTATTCTGTTTGCACAGTCATTCTCTCACAAAGCTCAAGGCCATGAAACAACTTGGCCTTGGTCAACCAAATCCTCTCCACTTTAATTTCCCCCTCTCCAAAGGCCGCATTCAAATGGCCCCCTAGTAAATTAATCCATTAGGGCCATGGTTCTTAATGTTGGCTGCACATTAGAATCACCGGGGGAGCTTTTAAACTAAACACCCATGCCTGGGCCCCACTCCAAGAGGTCCTGATTAATTGAGGTTTGTGTTTTTTGTGATTACTACTACTTCCTGGCAAGAAACCAGGGGCTGTGTGTGGTCAACTCCAGTTAGTCTCTGCTGCCCTAAAGGGCTGTGAGGTGGCAGCGTACAGACAGGCCTAGGAAGTCGGTTTTCTATTTGATAAGCATTGAAATAGTGCAATTTTGAGTCAGTAGCAGCTAAGCAGTAGTTTTGAGAAATCGAAGTCACTTCTCAAGGTCTGCCTCAAGTCCTGGGAGGGTGAAAGGATGGAAGGAAATGGCTGATATGTAATTATAACTCCGCCTTACTTACAAGTGAATGAATCAAAGGGGTTTTTAATTGTCTTAGACTACTGTATCTTAGAAAATCATGTTTGGTCTTTACTTACTAAGCGACACAGACAGGCACAAAGTGAGGAAAAAAATTCACCACAGAGAACAAATACTGTTAATGTTAAGTCAGATATGCAAGTTTAGGTTTTTCTCTGATTTTTATGGATATGATATTAAATATGCATATAAAAGCTTACATATGTGGTAGCACAAAAATACAGGAAATTGCCAGTTATATTATCATTTCACATAGGAAAACCATAGCTTATTGTTCTGCTTTCTGTCTTTATTATTATTATTATTATTTACTGTAATGTAAATAAGGTTTTGTGACTCCTACCCCCACATACCAGTATATATGTGTATAAAGTTGTGTATCTGAATGAAAGGGAGGGACGAGATGCAAGAGGGGAGGGAAGGGAAAGAGGGATGGGAGATGGAAAGGAGAGGGGAGAGAAGAAGAGATAGGAGATAGGAGGGGGAGGAGAGAGAGAGATGGGATATGAGAAGTGGGAGGGGAAGGGGAGGGAGGAAGGGGAGGTGGAAGGGGAAGGGAAGGGAGAGATGGGGTATGAGAAATGGGAGGGGAAGGGGAAGGAGGAAGGTGAGGTGGAAGGGAGAGGAGAGGAGAGGAGAGGAGAGGAGAGGGAGGGATAGGAGATGGAAGGGAAGGAGAGGGAGACAGCACTTTGTTTTTACTTTTGGTGATGACTCATTCTCTTCTACCTTACTTTAGTCTTTGTTTCGTTTCTTTCATCTAGGTTCCCAAAGCATTCCATGGAATCCATTGTTCTCAAAAGCTATTTATAAAGCCACTCTATTGGAAACCAAAGGCCATCGTCATTCAATTCACAGGCTGGGGACTTGAGAGAGCAGGCCTGAGAAGACAGCACACTTGGACAGATGGACTCCATCTCCAACCCTCCAATTCTTCGGATACCATGGACTGTCACTCTACCATACCTGTGCCCTTCTTTCCAAACACTGAATAAATGTTTGTTCTCAGTGTCTGCAGTATGGCTTCTAAGATACATAGGGTCACTAAGTATACAATATGTAGGACAGTAGCTCTTTCCCTAGATTGTAATCCAAGCATGTCACCATAGTTAACACTTAACCTTTTCTTTCATTTTATTTCCAAAGACCATTTTCATTTCCTTCTTTGTAGATTTCAATCTTTGAAACATTTTATGTCCCCCAAATATACATACTAACTCTTTTATTGTAACTTACTTTAGCCATTTTTCAAATTCACATTGTTCAGTTGACACAACGTGGAATAATCTGTCTTTTTGCCCACACCCTGGCTGTTTCCTTGTTTGTTACAACAGCTTGTAGCCTCAGTAAGCAGTGTTTGCCCCTGGTCCTCTGCTGCTCAGACCATAGCCAACTGCTCTGCTTTCATGGTCCCACCACAACAAATATGAATTCGTTCATAGAGATCCTCAACTAAACTCATGTAACTGTGAGATAAATCTAGTAACTCCCAGCCCCATTTTAAGCTTTGGTTCATGATATTGCTTCTTTTTGGGATACTCTTTCCCACTCCAATCTCCCAGAAAAAGTCTCCTGCCTCAGAGATGCAGACCA